GGGCCAATATTGCCAGAAACCCGCTTGTTTCCTCCTGCTTTTCGTCTTTCCACCTGTGAGAGTTATTCTGGCCACCAAACAGCAGACAACATCTTCAGCCATCTTCCCATGCACTCCCAACAAGCCAAGGTCCCTTGTCTGATGATCCCCATTGGAGGGATCCAAATGGTACAGGCCAGACCAAGGTCCCACCCTACTACCCCTTCGTCCCCAACATCTCCCCCCATGGAGGGGCCATCACTGGCCAGGTTTGAATCATACTGGGGCGGGACCCCTAGAACTCAAGGGCTTAGGACTCCTGGAAACCACTGGTCAGAGTACCAGGCAGCAGGAACCAGCCAGTCAGGGCAGTGCGTTTTCAGCACAGCACTAACATGTTCCAAACCGGAGTTGGAGACCACAGACTCAAAGCAATATGGCAGCTCACATAGCTCCTCCCACACCCGCAAGTCTGCTACTGAGACCACCGAACACTGCGTCAGAGACAGTCGTTCAAGAGCACCCCTCAGTCTAGCAGCTACCGTAGCCTCGCCTGCCATTGGACAGCAGCCAGAGGGGGAGGAGCCACCATCTGGTGGTGATCAGGTGGAGGGAGGAGCTAAAGGAGACTCAGCCGGGACAGACCAGAGCACGTAACAGTGTGTACACCTTGATGCATCATGCATCCCATTTTGCTTTATTGGTTGCTACACTAGTCTTGTTTTTTTATTGCTTTGTTTTTATACAGTTTTCAATACTATTGTTAACTTAAATGTTTGTTCTTTGGCAATATTCAGGTTTGTTATAAAAATGCACTTTTTTCTTTGTAAAAATAATGTCTATCTATATAAATTATATATATAAATATATCCCTCCCGTATCTCTATTGATACTGGTAATCTTAATGTCTGTTTAAATATATGTAAAAGGAGTATGATTAAATTTGTAAATGACCAAAATCTTTAATCAAAAAATAATTCCATTTTTGTTTGTCCAAATTTTGTCCAGTATTACTCAAATTGTAGTTACTTGTGCCTTTTCTGTCCAGGTTTGTGTTTTGAGATGTACAGTACAGATAGACAAAGAGAAGGCTGTGAAATTTTATATCTGCTTTTTTGTGCCGTTCAGGAGGGTTAATATTTGATGTTTTGATTGTTTCTGTTCCATTGCTTTAATGCCAGGGTAACAGAGAGTCGCATCGTAGAGATATTGAAGGAGCAGCAGAAACGTGTCAAAGGAATTGCACTGAAGTTCTATTTTTTATTACAAAAGATTTTAGATTAGAATATATCTCTGTACAGGGAAGAGCGCTCCTTATTTATTGTTATTTGACAATGATTATTGTTTCAAGGTTGTTGTTTTTTTATTGGAAAAAGGATGTGTTTTGTTATATCTGTGTGTCTTTTTCATGATGTACTTGTGAACTGAATTGGTGACAGAGATGAGGGATCGAGTTTGGCTGGTACCGGAGGATTAAGTGCCCTGCAGATTTCACACAGCAAAATTTCTAGTCATTGAAGAAATAAAAAATGCACCAGACTCCTTTGAGATTGTGCTTTTTTTTTGCCATGTGTATCGTATAATGCTTTTGCTCCAATAGAGTTTGTACCATAATTTTTTTTTATTCCAGTGTGGCAGTTAAAGGACAAACTTCTCTATGCATGTTTAATGATTTCCTTGTGTTATCAACTGCATTGGATTGGTTTTCCACAACAGATCAGTGAAGTTGGAACGTGGGCAAGGAAACATCAAAACTACATCATAAACATCTACAACCAGGATCAACTGATTGGATCAGAAGGGGTTGACTCCTTATAGGAGAACATAAAAGGTGTGTCTTTCTTTGGTTTTGTTTGTGGTACTTTGTCAGGAGCTGTGTGGTATTTTGAAGTCTTGGCTTCCAAGAAGTGGATGACTAAAACCACTTCCAACATCAAAGTTTCATTGTAAGCGCTTGGCCACCACAAGTTGCCAGAATAGCTTTATCTTGGCAAAGATTCTCCAATTGAACTTTGCTCTGAGATTGTATACAAAACATATTCCCCTGATTTGATGTTTTTATGCACCCACAGCATATCATCATCCTTTAGAATACTCACCAAACTCTCTTGACCCGTTGTGCCCTGTATGTAAGCATCTGCTTTTATTATGCTTCTCCACTCACCTGTCAGTATGTGACAAGGATTAATAGCAGATATAAACCCACAATAATCAGTCTGCTAAGTTTTTCCCTCTTGAGGGAGCAACCAGGCAGCTGTATTCCTTTAGTAGTACCACTAGATGTCCTTATTAAATCACCAACCCTCAGGTATCCACCAAGATATTTTTATCTTCCATGCAGCTGTTTTCAAAAGGAAGTGCTTGTGACTAAAGAAACACTGTTGTGATTTAGCATACTGTTTCCCTTGGTTTTAGTTTTGATTGGGGTCAAGAGGGTGAACACACACCTTTCATAAGAAATCCACCTTATCAACTCTAACAGGAACTTAAATGACGTCTATAAATTCTAAACTATGATTGGCTTTATGGGTCAACTGTGAATTCATTTTGTAGCTAAGAGTTGGAAACGCCCATTTTTTATTATGTTGACATACATTTATAACTTTCAAAGGCTGAAAGATTTTAATTCTACATCATTCTCTGTTTTATCATATCAATTTGCCTAGCTTTTTAAAGCACTCCTGGCGCATGCAACTCTAGGAGTATAAAACAATATTCACACACAAAATAAAATTCACATAAATGTATCACTCCCATCCCAGCAGTGTTTTCCACTCACTGTCACTGGTGCTTCACACAACAATGTTTAACAACACAGCAAGACACGCATTACTTAAAGCTGATTTGGGCACCGCCAGCGAGCGTCCTGACAAGAAGCCAAAAGATGTTTGCTGCTGTGACTTGACATTCCACTGAAAATGTTATCAAACAGGAAACAGGGAGGCACTTGTATTTTCAGACACCTATTTCAAAAATAGTTTGAAGGGAATGAACATTCTTCCACCCTCAAAGCCCTGTACATACGACACAGAGCCAGTGGGGTTCAAGGGAGATAATGTTTTCAAAGGAGTGAACTGAGGAGGTACGGTTGCTAATTAAAAATAAACACCTGTTTCTAGGACAGAAGCTGGCAACGACACTGGATGAAACGAGACTCCCTCGTTTTTCTCCGACTTGCATCACTTTTACTCGCTATTCATATTTCAGAGACAGGACTGCTTGATGTGATGTGATGCCTGTGGAGAGGGGCACATCTGTGCTCCTGAGGGAACTGAACTTATAACCTCTGGTGCAAAAATATGTTGAAAAATCTACACTATCATGATGCAGTGTGGCAATCTCATCACCATGTCACACATTCCACAAGTTTTTATGTGAGAGGGAAATGTCCCCTCCCCACCAGAGGTCTGGCAGATTCTGTACTAGAAGCTAAATATCCTGACCAATCTTTTTCTGAGAGTATGGGGAGAAAAGATATATAGATACACTGAGGTGAAATTAAAGTGGAAGACACAGACACAGTGTGTAAATGTGTTTTGAAAGTATTATACACTGCATAGAGAAAAATTACTCTCTGCTCTCTGCTGTGTTGTATATGTTGTAGTATCAGGTTTCATGGAAAGTGGATTATAAGTCCCTTTAAGTTAACAGTATCCATACAGGGGTTTATGGCAAATGAATAGGGAAAATGTATTTGTATTTGCCCTCAACTACTGAAAAAACAAAACTGTGGTTACACATCCATTTTTCAAATTATATTCTACCGAAAAACATTGCCTGCACGCCTCAAATGCTCGTATGTTTCCATTGGACAAATATCATCTAAGCCTCAAGTTGCAAAAGATGATCTACTTCAAATTTTCCAATTCATGACTCCCCTTCCCAATCAGAAAAGTGATCTGTCATCTTCAGGGAAATGATGGCAGTGAAGACAATATGTACTCTACTAAATCTGAATTTGTATTTACTGTATTTACATGAGTGAATGGTGCCATTTGGCTATCTGCATGATTCTGGCACGGCTGACCTCCATACTGGGCACCATGTGGGTGGGACATGACAAGGAACATATAGCCTACTGCCTGTGGGCAGGGAAGAACAGCCTGCTTATCTCTGTGTGGGCTTTCACCAGTCCAGCCATCATGGAAGCATCAGTGCAGTCAAATGTAACACTGGAATTTCTTTTGTGACAGTTACATTGTCAGTCACAAAAAACAAAACATGAAAAATGCAATAATGATTTTTTTAATTATTATTATTGTTTTGCCACTGGGGGCAACAGAAAAATGTCACCTTTTAAGTTGATATGGCACACTTATCTTTTTCAGTCGTTTAACTACATCAAACTACATTAAATGGTCATACATTCCTTGTTGTTGTTCCACATTTGTTCCAATAGAGAAAGTGGTTTTTGGAAAATCTTAGTTGATGGAGCACCTGGTAGCTCACCTGGTTGAGCTTGTGCCCCATGTATTAAGGCTAAGCCCTTACTGCAGTGGCCCTGCTTTGATTTTGACTTTCCAGTCACTCAAAAATTCAAAAAAATAAATAATGTCTCCATTGCATATCACTTCATCTTCCCCCTCGTGCTCACTGTTGGGATCCACTGTCTTGGTGCTTCTCCATCACTTTTTAGAGCATATCAGGATCCATCAGCCTCTCTTCTGTCTCTGCTCTGGCACATTAGGTAATCCCTTTAACCCTCCTTCAGATATCCTGTCTTCCTCCATCTCTCTCTTCATCCCCCTCAAACCGCATGTATAGCTAGAGACAATTCCTCATTCAAAGGCAAACTGCAGACATAAATGTCACTCAGCAGATGACAGTGGTGTCATGAAGAGGCTACAAAGCATCAGATATTGCTGGAATGTGTCACAGGTTCAAACACCCTGGGGTCGTACACTGTGGCTCCACAGCAAGCAGCCGTGGGTGGAGCTTTTACCATGACATCATGTGAGGGAGAGGAGAGTAGAGTTATAAGAGAGAGTGGCATAGCTCAGACACCTGCAGACAAACAGCAACAACAGCAGCAGCAGAACACACAACACAGCTGCAACTGAACGGATAATAGTGTCTCTGCAGAGCTTCATCCATCTGCTATCAACTATGTCTGCTAACACCAGTGTTCTTCTTCTCCTCACTCTTTGGGCTTCCATGCAGGACGGTGAGTTAAATATATATTCTACATATTTGTATTCTTGTTTTTGTGGGATGTGCAGTTAAGCTAGACTAGAAAAAGCCTATTGCTATAAGCAGTGTGTGAACTATACCATGGCTTTCAGGGGAGCTCACTTTTTTGTGTAGTTGCAAAGAAACATTTGTAGCTGTGATCATGTAGGTCTACTGGTTTTATGTCAGCACATCTGATATTTAATAATCAATTAATACCATACTTGCTTTAATAATTTTACACATGATCCATGATGATAAAGATACAAAAACAAATAGAAATACATGGCAAAAATAGCATATTGTTAATATTTTAGAGCCCCCGCCCCCCCTCCGAAATTTAACAAATCATGGTTTCTGGGGAGTTCATGTCTTATTAAGAGGAGCCAAGCTCCCCCTGGCCCCCATGTAGTTCCCTGGTTATGTGTGTTTTTGTTACTGTATGTAATATTATGTATGTTGGTGCCCATACATGTTTTGGCAAGTCTAGAAGCCCAGAACACATCAAAGGATCAATTTATTACACAAAAGCTGCTCATGTTATCTCAAGAAGATTTTTACTACTGCTGCAGCTTGTAATTGATTGAAGTAGTAGGAGCGTGAAAGTGTTTTCCTTATTTCCTGCAGGTTTTGTTTATCTAAAACAAAAGAAGAAGAAGTAGATAGTTTGTTTGTGAGCCTTTTAGATTTAGCCCTTTTTGACTGTCTATGACAATGAAAAAGCAAAGGAATTCATGCATTCACGTCCAGTGAATGAGTGTTTGCTCACAGCAAGATCAAGAGTGATGAGTTTTGTAGAAAGAACGTGGAATTTGTAAAGAATGGTTGAGTTTTTTCATGTCCTCACTTGCAAATTCTATACATAATAGACAGATATCATTTCCATCCGTTTTATGTTTTGAAAATCAGAGAGTAAAGGCAAGGCCACTGACAGTTGGTTTGGTCGGAGATGATGCTGTGTTTGGATCAATGTTACTGAGTGGCTCTTTGTTTTTCCGACTAGGTTTGGGTCTTCTGGTGGTGAAACAGCTGGATGTGGAGGCCGGTGTCCCACCACAGAGAGAGAGGACCAAGCGCTGTGCCTGCAGCACCCCACTGGACTCTGAGTGTCACTACTTCTGCCACCTGGACATCATCTGGGTCAATACGCCCAGGTAGGCTTGAAAAAACATAAATAAAGTTTGGACACATGCAACATACTGACATGTATAGTGACTTTTACTATGCAAAGAATCTTGGCCAGGATGATTAAGAATGAGGCACAAATGTCAGTGCATTATCGCTTTGAGCGCAATATCTGCAGAATAAACATTGGCTATCATTATCACTGTATAATTACATGGGCAGTGGTGGCTGAAGTATCAAAGAGCAAAGTCTGCAGAATGTTTATGTCACACACATGGCACTGAGTCTCTCTTTCTCTTTGCAGTAAGACAACACTTTATGGTCTAGGCAGCGTTCTGTCCCGGCGCAGAAGGTCCACTTTTCGCTGCACCTGTGCCAAGCTAGATGATCAAACTTGCACCAACTTCTGCCATCAAAGGTGAGTGTGGGTTTGAGCATCCCGCACATCTGTCAAGCATCAGTTGAAGGCCCGTGTGAGCGTTTAACCCGGATTTGTATTAGCTTAGTCAATAAAGGAAGGTATTATTGCCTTTTTTTTGGAGGACAAGGAGCGGTGCAGTGTGAGGGAACACTCATTTCACTGCAATGCGATCATTAGCCTAAATGTGTTGCTATTGTGTTGTACAAATCCTGCCTGTCCGAGGGTGTGATCATGAAATAATACAGCTTGGCCTGAGGGAGGTGAATAATCTCAGTCTGGTGCACAAAGCTTGTTTTTGATTGGCTCTGCTGGCCAAGGAGTGAAATGTGTAGGAGGCTGAAAGTAATTAAAAGCTATGTCAAGAATTAACGTATCCTAGAAATGCCAAACAAATAGTGTCACCACCTAGAAACAGCGGAGACAAGCGGTATCATTTGAGGTCAGTTATGTTTAAACAGTGACAGTGCACCGTTCTCTTGTTGCATAAACATTTATCAAGACTGTAAAGATAAGGGTTTTTCAGGTTTACTGAGAGTGTAAAAAATAAAAAACGTTGAATGCTTTTATTTAAGTCGTGGTGTTCTTTAACTACATATCAATAAAACATGTGTGGGAAAATGCAATGTCAGTCTGTATTGGAAAGCCGGTCATTTGACCAAACTGTGTCTTGGTCTGCAGCCCTGAAATCACATCCCCAAAGAGATCTGTAAAGAGACACCAACTCAACACACTCAACATACTGAGGTGAGCTTTGAATGGGCAGATTACCTCGAAAAACTGCCACAACTCCATTTACATTTTGATCATATTAATTATCTGACTGACTTTCTGTCCCTCAGAGCTGTGGTCAGCAGATCCAAGAGAGCCCTGGACGCGCCTGATTCAGACAAGGCTCAGAGGAAGAATGCTCGCTAAAAACAACGGGCTTGAGGCAGTGAGAGTGAGAGAAAGAGAGCAGTGAGCACCTGAACAAATGACACTCCTTTGATAGAGAAAAGGGGAAAAAACAAAGGGCTGCTGAAAGATCCGACGCAGGAAGGCCCGAAGCGCCGCAAAGATGTCTGTTTGTGCCCAGGAATAGAGGGTGGAAAACGTGAGAGTTCTGCAAACACACCATGGAAACAGATATGGAGGATCAGCACTGAGAGGAGCTACTAACAGGACAGGAGAATGTTGTGCCTGTGGTCATGTTCGAGAGTTTGAGTGGTTGTCTCTGTGTCATTGTACAGACCAGTCGGCACTTACATAGACGGATCTAACAGTGAGGAAAAGGGACATGCATACTGTACATACATGTACAGGAATTTCTCACATACATGGCAAGTTTTTACTCATTTATATGTAAAATATGTTTTTTTTCTTTCTTTTATGGATCAATAGATTTATTATTTTACAACTTATTTAGAACACATTATATTATGAGTGAAGGGAAGGAAAAAGTATAGAAAAATAGAATACTAAAAGTTATGTTTCTGTATCAAGATTTATTGTGTGCAAAAGTGTAATGGAAATAAATCAGAACTGAATTAAACCTGTATCATCTCATATTTTAGTATAAAGAAATATTTAGACTGAAAAAAAAAATGTTGACCCTCATCTTGCTTTTTTCTCTCATTTTCTATTGATGACCTTCTCTGCTTTCTTTAGGAAAGTGTAATGTGTAAATAAAGTACAGAAACCAAACGTGGCAAATAATTTGAGGGAAAATAAATCCTTTTAGGTGGCATGTGTGCTTTAACTGTGTGCCAGGCAAACACATTGCTGAGTTCAAAAGGAGGCCTGAGATGGATGAATGGCGCAAGAATTCAAGGCTCACATCAATAATACGTTTACTTGCTATTCAAAGGCAGCACAGCCAGTGTTATCATAAGGATCTGTGGAAAGAATGTGCCTTTGCTGAGGGGGTGAGAGAGAGGTACAAAATGCCCTGTCACCTTGTGTTCCTTTCTAACTCATTGTACTGTACATACCGTCCACGCACACCTGAATATGCAACAAGGCAGATAAGGACTGGAGCCGAAGAAAACAATCCCAAGAGACTATTCATCAGTTATCTAATGAATAAAGCGAAGAGAACTGACCTGCTTTTGCTGTCTGATCAAATAACACTGATGGATGATAAGTGTTAATGTGGGTCTAATTTCAAGATTCCTATCATACTTCTCCTTCCACTTTTTTTCTAGAGAGACCCCCTGCAGATGTATTTTGAAGACAGGTCTGAGCAAAGCAACAGACAGTATCACTAGACTGCCTGCATCCACAGCAGAGTGGACACCGTCAGGCACAGTTATGCAATATTCAGTCAGCTGTGACATCTCACCTTCACGTGTTTGTTTAAACTGATAAATTTATGCAAAATCAGGGTCTCATGCTCGACTGATCATTGTTCAACAAGGCTTTTATTTAATGTCATCTGAAACTTTTTTACATAAAGCAGCATTCTTGCACAGAGCCAGCGTGTTTCCCCCCTGTTTCCTGTCTTTACGTGAAGCTGAGCTAACAGCTGCTGCATTAGTGGACTGTTTGAGGGGCAGGGGCGGAAAAACAAAAATAAAAACACCACCAGTACACAGAAAGTTGTGATGCATTTATGGTGAAACTGCTTAGTCAGGGTTAGGATTAGCACCCAAGAGGGCACTTCATCACATTTTCTCCACAGGATGGTTACCCTAGAGGGCAATTTATAATGTTGTGTCTACCATAGGGGCATCAGAGAGGGCATTTTGCAGTGGGTTTTTTTTTACTTTTAACTTTTCAATGTACTTCTTTGTAAATTGCTGTTTTGGCATTATTACTAAAATGTCTGTAAATGTATTTCAGAACATTCACAAAAAATAAGCTCAACATAACTTTCCTTCTTGTCTCGATAATCTCCTCTACTCTTTACTTTACTACTGAACTCTCTGACTTTAAATGTGGCCGACACAGCAAATCAACATTTATATTGGTCCGAAAAAGAGCGAGGAGAGGCCGGAAGCAACATAACTTTCATTGGGGGTTATGATGAGACAATATGACAAGTCAATTTAGACTGTAAAGAGATAATGATTGTATAAAAAACAGACAAATATTAATGAATAACTGAGGTAATGATAAAATATGACTCGCACTGTGTCAACTGGTCTTTGAGAAACCTGTCCTAGAGGCAGAACTCTGTCCATGGTGCTGGAACAGGAGAAACTCCAGTGAACCTCTTCACTGTTGCCGTCATACATACATGAAAGTCCCGTTAAGGTTTGAGTGTAACTTTGTTGTCAGTCAGTTAAGTTGAGTTCAGCTGAGTTCAGTTGAGTTCTTTATTGCCCCACTGGGGAAATTCAGATACAGATAAAACAAAATCACAGTACACAATAAAATCTATTAAGCAAAATTCATGTTTTATAGGATTGGAAAGAATAAAGTGTTACGGTATGTATGAGCAAGAAGTTCAAGGTAACAATTACCTTTGGTGGAAGTTAACTATTCACACTGAAAATTAAACCGTTCGAATGGTTTCAGAAATAATTCCAATGACAAACAGGTCTTCAGCTTGTATCTTTGTTTCTGAATTGCAAAATAAAAACATCTCCTACATATCAGTGAGGACTAAGTATTTGCCATTCTGGTCAATTCCTATCTTGTGTCTTTTTTCTGAGAGGCTGCGGTTGTTCACAGGTCTTGGTTCAGAGTAAAATATGCTGTTTCTTCATTTTGTATGAAGGGGTGACTAATAATAATTAATCAAACTGAGATTGACAAGGATGTTGTTGCATTATGACTGCAGACATATTGTAGCTTCAGTTCTGTAAACTTTATTGTGACCTGCTGATGATATGATGAGTCCCACATTAACCTTTATATACACGCTTCACAGGGCAGCGCTAACCATTGTATCCACACTTTAGTCAGCTTTAAGCTCTAAAACAGGAAGTTCCTCTTCCCTATAAAAACAAACTCTCATCTTTTCCATTTAATAAGTTACCCTCTTTGCCATTGTGTGACGAACTTAGTCGCCACATAACTCTCTTGGGGCTTAGGTTGTTGTGTTGTGTCTAGTATTGAGCTATCTGGCTCCTTTAGCCTTTTTTATTGCTTTAAATCGACATTATGTGACTGTAGAGTTGATATATGGGGGCTGAAGGTTAAAAGTTAGTGTTCTAAATGTTGAAAAGGAAAAGCAAAATAAAAACAAGTTAGAAGAAACCGGCTATACACCATAATATTGCTGTATATACCTGTTTTAACTTTTTTTTCTACCTTGCTAAATGGCTACAATAAAATGAAAATGATAATAATGATAATGATAATGATTTTCTGTACACCATAACATAAAATAATGCACATCTGAAGCTGTGGTTCAGGAGGTAGAGCGGGTTGTCCACTAATCAGAAGGCTGGTGGATGGATTCCTGGCTCCTCCCACTGCAGGTTGTAGCCTGAAGACTGCAAAAGCACTATAAAAGTACAGTCAAATCATTTAAAGTTTTACAGTTACTCATACTAATACGTTCAATCAATGGAAAAGTCACAATGGAAAACACTGGGCAGCCACATTTGTTTAGGGAAAATTAAATGAATACATTTTACATATACACTAGTGAATAAAAAGAGCTGGGATCGACTCCTAAAATTCTTTCCAAATTGTAAAAATCATTAAAAAATAATCTCAAATAATAATGATAATATTTTCTTTCTGCACAACAACAGAAATCAATACTGTAATCAGCTGATTTTAACTCTGCACACTGGCTTTAGGCAGTTACATAAACTGATATTCAAACACATTTTTCACAGATTTTTTCCTGTCTGCTCCCTTAATCTTATCATATGAGATGTTGGTATCTTTACATACGGTATTTGAAGAAATATGAAGTCAATTCAAGTTTTAATAGATAACATGTCTGGGACATATAGGGCATGCTTTCCTCTGCAGGTACAACTTGTACCAGGTGAAAGTATGTACCCTCTAAAGTTTGGTTAGAGGTCCTCTACTACTAGTATCAGTCATGTGGTTCCTAATATGTTTTACCTGGCAGCACTCCAAATATTAGTTATGTAACTCATAGATTTGTATACATTGTGGTTGGGAGTTCGTGCAAGTAAAAACAAGAGGCAGACAGTGACCTAAGATGCAGGTGTAGGATCAGCTGGTGATTCAGATTTCTATTTCATGTCTGCATGTATATTTTTCATTGAGGGGAAAGTCTCCATGGTCTAATTGGCATCTGTTTCCCAGAATCCCAGTGGAGTGTGGCCGAGTAATGCTCTTATGTTTTGGTATGCATAATCTCATTTATTCACATTGTGAGTGTGATACAGTTGAATAGCATTGAATCCTCTTAATGACTCATATACCATACCAGTACTGACCCCTGTGGTATATTTAGCTTCAGATGGTCACATCACATTAGATACAACCGATACTGATTCAACACACTCAGTAAACATTCCTTAAATGCTTCCTGTGTTTTCATTTACTCAAAAGGCACTTTTTTGGGTCAAAGCCAACAGGCATTGATCATGATTGGCAACAACATGTTCCCACTCTTAGAACAGCCCTCTGTATCATTCATGTTTTCAGTGAACTGACTGAAAGAGGTCAGCAATCAATCAAGAAAATTATGCTCATAAGTTAATAATACTTGCTTAAAAAATCATAAATAATGTGGCTATGTCCTCCTCTTGTTCATACGTTCATGAGTCATACGTTTCTTTCCTCTGCATTTAGGAGTGCTTTGTTATAATAAAGGAGTGGAACCTATTACGCATCCATAAGGCCTCATAAACACCCATTCATCAGAAACTTGTCACAGCAGAGACTGAGATCTGCTGTGAAACAATCCTGATGCAGCCAGTGGTAAAATATTCCACAGCTGTTCCCCAAGAATGTGCAGTGAAGCAACAGCCCAGCGTCTCAGCCACCCACCCACCCACACAAACTGTATACCCATGCACACAACTGTTGCTGGAGATATACAATGGGGGTGTTTTCCAAAAAGGCTGTATTGTATCATGCTAAGACAAGTGGATCCTATGCAGTCAAAAACATAAACTAACCCCTTACAGCAGAGCAAGTGTGTGTTTTACCCTCTACTGTGCATTGCAATGATTCTTTACCACCAGGGCACAAGATCATGTTTTGTGTTTTTTATGTAGGCTGAGACAGCTGTTGTCCTGTTCATGTCAACATCCGAACAACTTAACCCATGCAGGAACAATCCATACTGTGCAACACTGTGTGGTACCTTACTGTTTTGCAACCTTAGCAGAGCGAGGCCGGAGATGACTTGCTTAGCATAATAGGGCAAAGTGCAAAGGTTCACGTTGTCTTGGATACTATTATCCTTGATCTTTGATAGTGAAGTATGAATAATCGGTATTAATCGGTCCCTTGATGGAGTGTCAGGAAAAGGTTGCTGTAGTCATCACTGGCAATTCCTGTGCTTTATTTCTTCT